CCTGTTCCCACCATTGTCCCCACCACTGTCCCCACCACTACCGTCCCCACCACTGTCCCACTGTCCCCCCACTGTCCCCACCACTGTCCCGCTGTCCCCTCACCACTGTCCCCACCAACACCGTCCCCACCACTGTCCGCACCCCCACTCGGTTTTCGAGAGGGGGGGGGGGTTCGAACCGGTAGTGACCCCCCCCCCCTTTTCATGATGAGCTGGGGGGGGGGGGGAGGGGTTCGAACCGGTAGTGACCCCCCCCGGTTTTCCGGAGGGGGGGGGGGGGAGGGGTTCGAACCGGTAGTGACCCCCCCCGGTTTTCCGCCAGCAGTGGTAGAACACGCTCTTTCGCATGTCGCCACCAGTCAGCGAGGCTACGGCGTCTCCCCTTTCTAAGTCCCCGCGGGCCTTCTTGTTTCGATGTGGGAAACCCCGCTTGAAGGACATACGCCCCGTGGGCATGCCAGTCAGGCGGGAGTCCCCCCCCCGTGAAGGAACAAACTGCCACGCGTCCTTCCAGCATGAAGGGATGCGAAGAGGCAGGATCAGAAAGGCCAGCGAACTGCAGAGCACCATGCGAGAATCCAATTTTGGCGGCGCGCGCAAGCGGGGTGGCGCGAGGGGGTCGGCCTTCTGAGAAGGCGGGGGGGCGGGCCTCCTTAGAAGCCATCCCGGCTTGTACGAGGTCTTCTTCGAAGCCTCTGCCCTGGTCCCTTCTAAGAAGCGCGCCGCCTTCTCAGAAGGCCACCCACCTCGCGCCACCCCCTTGTGCGCGCCGCTTAGAAGTGGAGAAACTCCAAGCGAGAACCCAGTGTCGAAAAAGGCCAGCTGTCCATCATTGCAACCGTTACGAAATTTTGCGCTGCTGGCAGTGAAGCGCGCGAAAGTCTTGAGCGACCGCCCCATGCTGAAAATACGTCGCCCTCCATTCTTGTGGCAGCTGGGATACTTCCGAAGTAGTCCTCCTCGCTGGTCATTCCTACCCCTCTCCTCCCGCCTCTTCCCCTCTCCCCCATTCCGTTCTCCTGGCCTTTCCTGGAACAAGAAAACCCAAATCCTGGCCTCTGCAGCACGCGGCATTACTTGACGTTCCTCTGTTCTCCCTTCCTCCCTTCGGCCTCCATCCCACTCCTTACTCTCTGGGTGTCCCCAAAGCCCAAGAAACGAACCGCCCAATTTCGGGGACAGTGGGTTGGCAAACGCGCGATGGCGAAGGCAGTCCCGGGAAAGACAGAGCCCAGAGCGCAGCACCATGCCTCTTCACCCCTCAACCGCAGAATTGCCCGCAAAAGCGCCACTCTCTCCTCCTCGCGTCTGAAGCATGCATCCTGCTTGCCTCCTACCTCGCCCGCCCGGATACAGCCCGCTGCCGCCAGCTGTGCAGCTGCCGCCACTTTCGTGAGCTCTGGGATGTTCGTTCACTGGGGGGCAACGACCCGGGGGTGAAGAAACTTGCAAGGTTCGTGCATATTTTGAGCCCACGGTAGCTGTGTTTTGGGCTCTCCTGCCTGCAGTCCACGATCCCCCCACGTTTACTGCCCCCCGTTGCCGTCCGCCTGGCAACTGAGCAGCTGCTGTTGCCGCTTTCCCGACCACACTGGAAGGTTCACCAACGCGCCGCGCTAGGCATTCGCAGAGTCGCCCTCGCCCTCTTCGAGCGTTGCAAACAGCGAAGGGGTCGCCAATTCCGTAAGCTCGCGGGATGCCCGGTGGAATGCGGTCTGACGCAAGCCCAAATCGGACCACGCCTGTGTGGGCGCTGTCAAGTGCGCAAATGCCGCAACTTTCGTGAACTTTAGAGGGCCCAACGAACGCGACCTTACGCAAGCTCGAATTCGACCACGCCTGCTTGGGCGCTGCCAACTGCACAGCCGTCGTCACTTAGTGGTCCCATTGGAGGTCCAGTGGAACGCTGTCCTACGCAAGCCCAAATGAGACCTCGCCACCTTGGTCGCTTCCAACTGCGCAACGTCAGGCACTTTCGTGAGGTGCGGGAAGGTCCAGATGATGGGCGTTGCAAAATTAGCAACTGCCGCCAGTGCCATGAGCTCCTGGGAGGTCCAACGGGCCGCGGTCCTTCGCAGACCAGAATTCGAATTCGCCTCCCTGGATGTTGCAACTGCAAGACGGTCGCTGGCTTTGTGAGCCCGTGGGCGGTCCACCAGATTGCGGTCCCATGCAGATCACAATAAGTCTTGGCCTCACTGGGTCGGCACCGATGGAACGGACGGGTCGTTGAAGTACCTGTGCGTCATGCTGTTCAAAGCGACGATGTAAGACAATGTCTCGTGATCGGCTACCCGCGCTTCGATATTTACGTATGCCGAGGGCCGCCCGCCGATCTGGCGGCGGGCCTGCGAACTCTGAGCGCCCGCGTTGAAAAGCAGGGAAGGGTCAGAGACGCTGGCGCAACGCGGCCTGGCTACTTGACTGAACGAAGGAGCGAGACAGCCGCCAGCGCGCGCTCATAAACTCCTCCATGCGTCGAACCCTGGACAGGGACACGCGTGCTGCTGCAAACACGTAATGCCCGCACCGGACGGCGCAGGGTTGAGGCCCTGAAGCTGGCTGTAAGCCCCAGCCTGCGATCGGCGCAAGCGTGGGTGATGTTACATCAGCCAACACCGTCAGCGGCAATCCTCGCCCACTGCGCCTTCCTTTCTTGCTCGTCCTTGCAGATACGATTACCATCTCCTCCGATCAACGCCCTGTATCCAGCTCCTCCTATGCATCGTTGTCCGTGGGTCTTCCCCGTATCGTGCCATGTTCTTCGATGTCGCCGCGTCCAGGTCCAATAGGGCGCAGAATGAAGAGATCCCCCTATGAAGCATTCAAACGGGGCAGTGTGCTCTTCCAAATATCCTTTCGGTTTGAGACGCATATACTCGGCGCTAGGCTGATAATCAAAGCTTGGAAACGGCACGCCCTCGATCTGTGGAAGTGCTGGAAACGTATGTACACGAATGCATGCGGCGCTACTGCGATGCCCACCTTTTGAAAATGGGTCGCCCTCCATGAGCGCAACTGAAGGGAAAATCAAATTTGCGGATAATGAGCTGTAACGTCTCAGGCGAAACTGCCGACCCGCATTCCTGCACGCCTTGTGGCGCAGCCAGGAGAACTATTCAGAGTGAAGACATTTGGGCGAGAGGAAGGAGGAGAGAGGGAGGGACAGGGGGACGGAAGGACGAGGTGGATGAAGGAAGAAGATCAATGAGGGGGAGGTTCAAGGGCCCCCTAGAAGTGGTTCTAGGGAGGTCGGGGAACCCTGAAGGAGGACGGGGTGGAGGGGGAGGAGGAAGGGAGCAAGGAAGAGGAAGGGAATGGGGAGGGAGGGACGGAGGAGGAGATCACGACTGCCGACGACGTAAAACTGAACCGCATCCCCACACCCTTTTTCCTCCCCTGCCCCGCCGCCCATGCCTTCTCCTTCTCTTCGTCTCAGCTCCTGTTGGCTTGGATGACGCTTGTTACTGCTGACAGAACCTGCAATACAGCGGCGAGACAAGGTCTGGGGGAGCGAGGTAGAAATCTGTTATCTGGCGGGCTGCGCCGTCTTTTCTCCCCCTCTTCCTCCCCATTATCCTCCTCCTCCTCCTCCTCCTCCTCATCATCATCATCCACAGGTGGAGACCTTTCGTGGAAGGCGACCCTCTCGTGTGAAATGGACTAGTGACCTCCAGGGCACCAGCACACGTCTGATCGGAATCAGCGTATGGCGGAAGGCGCGGTCATCGGGCCCCGCGGCACGATGCAGGCGCGAAGGCGCAACGCGAGGGAAGGCAGCGGATCAGCCCCAGCGTGCGCGGATGGTGGACTCGCCAGGCTGTCGCTGACGGGCCGCCCTCTCAGAGCTGGCAGGTGCGCCAGACTCGCGACCAGCGAGAGGAGAGGGAGGGGAGGGGGAGAAGGAAGTGGAGGCAGGAGGAAGAGGAAGGAGGATGAGGAGGAGGAGGAGGAGAAGCTGGAGCCCAGCTGAGGCCCTCTTTGATGGTCCTCTTAGCGCCGCTAGGGTGGTATTGAGTCCCTCTTGGGCAAGTGTCGTGGCTCTCTTCTGGCCACCTTGTGGCCTCAAGAGCCATTGGGAGCAAAAAGGCGTTCAAATCAAAAACCATTGAATTCCCATCCGGTTTGAAAGATTGCGGCCTCTCAAGGGCTCTCTTGGCGGCATCCTGTGGCCACCTTTGGCCGGCCTGGACGCTGTCTTGGCGTGTCTTCTAAGGTATTGTCTCCGCTCTGGTCTGGTCTGGTGATCAGAAGCCGAGTTGGCGGCGTCTTGGGCCGTCTTGGAGTTTCCCGACGCCCGCAAAGCTCTCCCGGACGGACCCTGCAAAGACAACACCCTTCAAGTCCTTCTAAAACTGCCCTGAAATATCCTGCAAAAAAATTACACAACGACCCTGCTCTACCCTGCAAAACCCCTACATAGCCCGGTACTCCCTCCACGACTCCTCCGCTGTTCTTCCCGCGACGACTTTCCTAAGAACCGCTTATGTGTAGGATGGTGGGGATGCGCGAAGCGTCAGGAATTGAGGGCTGACAAATCAGTGTGCGAGTGTGTTTGAAAGTGGGTACGGCGTACAACCAATCAGCCGCAGGGGACATACTGGGGATCGCGCAGGAAACAGGAAATACACAGTGGAGCCAGCGTGTGCAGTTCTGCCTGCTTCGGCGGTATACAGCGCCCAAGTGTCCCCCCCACTCGCTGGCCAGTGCCAGAGCCACGAGGCAGCTCCTGCTCCTGCTCATCCCGCCCCCCCCCCCGCCCTTCCACAATCCCCTTGCTGCGTCTTCCTCGCACACCTTGCCGATATCTCGCTCGTCGAGGGGATGGTGGCGCTGCGACGGTTGTAACAGCGACAGTTACAACAACGATCCACCAGATGTCAGAGTTGGTGATTCTACTCTGCGTGCTCGTTGTGATACTGATCAGGCTCCTTACTGCTGATGACCCTTTCCTTTTTTTAGGCCCGATGCTGACTACGACACCCGACCAGCGACGCCTACTAGTGCCGAGGATTCTTGAACAGGCGATGCCAATCAATGCCTCCCATCGTCCGCTCCATCTCCAGTACAAGCTTCCTGTTCTCGCCAGAGCCCTCAAGTGTCCAGCCGCAAGAGTCTGGATCGATGCCGCCAGCCAACTCCCCCTCGCAAACGGTCGGCTGTAGAGCGTGGCCCTGAACCGCGACAAGCAAGTGTGTCTCTTTGAACACCACCCTGACATCGGAGGCTTTCGTCTCAGCTGGCACGGCGATCGTCACCGTCACATCCGTCTTGTCCTGTCTCTCCTCGAAGAGCCAAGGCTCGCCCGGGCGCGGCATTTCCTTCATGGCATTCGCGGCCTTTCTCTGCATATACTCCTGCTTTGCCTTCTCCTTCTTCGACCGCGTATCCGGATCGGATGTCCTTCTCACGCCATCCAACACCTCGTGAAGCGGCGTTTCTGGCGGCGGCTCGATAAGCAGCTTCTCGATGATAGACTGCACCACTGAGTGCTCAGCCTTGAAATAATGTTTTATCTCGTCGATCTGGTCGCAGGCGTGCTGCAGAAGCGCAACGGCGCGTTCTCTGTTCCAAGCTTTCTGCGACAACTCCTCCCGGGCCGACAGGATGGGCGTTGCCAAATCAGCCCAGAACTTGTCCTTCTGCATCGTGTTGGAGATGTCGTCGATCGCTTCGCCGATTGACATGTCCGTGTCGCGATCCTTCTCCTCGTATTCCAGCCCTTTCTCCTTGGCGACAGCTTCTGCTCTGAGAGACGCAGTGGCTGCAAGCATCTGCTCTGGGCTGATGTCAGTCATTTTACTGGTCGCTGCGGGGCCTACGGCCGGAACGACAAACCAGTTCTATCGCCACGGATTAACTTGAGCAAAACATATTCGAGATACGTCCGATGGTGGCTCTACCGTGGATCGTATCATCAAAGGCCATGCAGGCCTTCAAGTAACAGTGAGGCCTTCTCATCTAGTGGAATTATGAAGCAACATATAGTTGGGCGTCGTTGCAAAAACGGAGAAGATCCTGTAACGACAGGCCTCCCCCATAACATGTCGTTGCCTCTGCCGCCATCGAGCTGTAGCACAGCTAGTGTGTGTGCTTGTTTGTGCGTGCGCTTGTGTAAGTCGCCGCCTCTCCTGGTCCGTCCCTCCTCTTCGTTTGCTCTGGGCGCGCTCTCTCACCTGGATCCGCCCTTTTCGCTTGCTCTGCTTCGGCTCCGCACCCACTGAGACCCCCGCGGTGCTGCGCACGTACGCACCGACTTAAACATGTGTGCTTGTGTATATGTATGGTCCCTTGCTTTTACCTTAGCCCTGCTCCTTGCAATGCATGGCGTTGGCGCCCATCGCATCGAGCACATCAAGGGTTAGTTTCTATGTTGTCTGCCTTCCCAGAAAATGCTGAGTACAGCAGCTTAAACGAGAAGACTCGGGTGCGGCCGTCACCGCCCTCCTCCAATCCTACACTTACCTGTCCTCCCTCCAACAAGCCCTGCCCCGACGCAGTCACAAGAGCGGTGCTGCGGATACGCGCAGTAACGGATTCGGGGATATATCTGAGTTCGTTGTGTAGAATTGCCACACCTAGCTATATATAAGTGTGTATTTATTATGTAAAGATATATGCGTATATACCCCCCAAGCTGGACGCCAAGGATGTTCGTTGCCCGCCTCGAAATTCTATGCTGTCTTGCGCGTGGGAGTTGTACACAAGGTCTCGATGTCTGCCAGGGCTGCGCGGATTTCTTATAGTGCCCAGCCCATGGGATCTGGCTGTAGTTCCTAATGGGTCTTGGAATACCGGAGTAGTTATATCATTAGGTTCCGCCCATGGGGTCCTAGCGCTGTAGTTGCCCCTGTCTCTTAGAACTGCGTTGATCACCCATAAGCTCGGAAAGACATTGGTGGCTGAGGCTGGGACCACATGGGCGGAGCTGTTCCGCCCACACGGTCCTGGCCTCAATCACCGATGTCATGTGGCATTTCCGTGGTTGCGCTGAGTACATACCCAGGGCGTCCCGCCGGCGGGGTCCCCGATCTCGTCGAGCCCGACTGTTGCATTGTTACGCTTGTGGCCCGCACGGTTCAGGGCACCCGCGTCAACTCCCCGTCCGCTGAGATGCCTGAGTGGTCCCACCCATAGAGCCCCCCGAGTCGGCCGCCCTCTGCTTGCCTTGTTGTTCTGGTTGTCGACTGGGTCCTGCCCAAGGACCGCGGCCTTTGATCGACTGCCATGCCAGCCCTCTTTGACTGTTCAGGCCCCACGTGCGTCCTTCAATTAAGGAGAGGCAGCGACTGCTTAGCAGGAAAAAACGGCATCCACTTGCTTGACATTCTAGCGCCTGTCATTGATGATTGCCACAGGCATGAACAATTGTGACATTCACGCGTTGATCAATGTGATGACGGTGTTAATGGTGGTAGTAGTAACTCGTGATGCTGCGTAATCTCTACTGCTGCTCGCCATCCTGCGCGGCACGGAGCTTGCCGTAACTCGAAAAAACGAGCTGCTTAGCTGTTAGCTGTCGAGCCCTGCGCCTTCTGCTTAGCGCTATGCAACTATCCTGCAAGCTACCCGAAACTGGTTGAGCATACACGTACGCTCGCGCGTCGAAGCCTGCACTGCTGGTGTGACCACGCCGTAAGGCATCTCGCCAAACAACAGATGATGACATCGTGCGTAAGGAATAGTCAACAACGATCCCACGTCGCGTGGAACCGTCAAGCGCGATCATCATTCCCTTTTTCCATGCCATCCACCTGCCCGATGGTAGAATCTTGCGAAGGCGAGTGGGCAGTGTGGCATTGAGCCGTGCGTGGTCATGCTCTTACCTGTTGGGCTGAGACCTGAAACCGAATGCTTACCGAGTGGGCGGCGAGGAGATGAATTGGCATCGTAACGTAACGACGTCGGAGGAGCAGCAGGAGGTGCAGTGGCAGGGGCAGGGGGGACAGACGGCCCGTTTTTGCGCACACGGCACGAAAGGCAAGTCTGGGAGGTCACAGGGTACAACCGGAGCGCACAGGGGCGACTCGATGGACGACATGCGCAGCAGCTCGGTAGTGGAGCTCGCAGAGGGTCGCGCAGGAAGCGCGGTGAAAAGCTGCGACTCCACCTGGCTGGCTCGAGAACCCCGCTAGGCCGACGTCGGCATCTATTGAGGTGTCTGGCTCTGCCTCCGAAAATTGCCACCACCAAAGCAGCCTCGCTTTTTTTTGCCTCCGCCAGCTTCAGCGGGCCTTCCAGTGGCTCCGCCGAGAGCGAGACACAAGCATCCGACGTCGTGTGGAGGGGGGGGGGGCGCAACGTCAGGAAAAAGCACTGCCCGAGCTCTCAACCACATCTTTGCGCGACACCTTCCCAAACACGCGATCCTCGATACCCAAACCATCGATACTCGGTTCCTGGTCTTGGCGGTGGTTCGGGGACACACTGACCCCTGATCAGGGCTGCTTCGCGAACCTGGGCAGGCTACATCGTGGCTCCCAAACCTTTGTCAGCGGAGGGAGTGGATGAAGAGATCGACTCTACGTGGCTCCCTTGCCCAGGTCGATCAGAAAAGGTCGAAGTGGACTATCTGACTCCCGTTAGCGCTGACCCCTGTTCGCTGAGCCCCTTTGCATGGAGCTCTGGGGTCCTCCTCCTCCTCCTCCAACATCGACCCTTGGGCCTGTCCTGGGTTGCGTTCTGGATTCTGTACAGAAGTTCGAGGCGTAGCCAGCCGTGACGACGATGAGGACCAAGAGAGGAAAAAGCGCGAACAATACTGGATCATCGATCCTTCCTCCCTCGTCCTTCTGGCGAGCTGGTCTGTACCACTCTGGACAAATAAAACTATCCCTGCCCCCACTTGGGAAACCTTGACGCCCTCATCCGCCCCCCCCCCTAGAGGTGAGGATGGGTGACGTCTCCTCTGCGCTTCGCAGCGCCCATCCCCACCTGGAGGGGGTACGCTGGCAGGGCGACCTTACCCTGATCCAATCGGGGTTGGGAGTTGGAGGCGTCTGGCGGGTCTGAGCTGGAGAAGCCCCGAGAAAATATGTCAAGAGCAGAGAATGATGGCGCGCTCTGTCGAGATTGGTCCCCAGACCTCCCCTAGGGTCGAGATTGACCAGCTTTCCCTAACCGCGTCTGGCCGTGGCGACGAAGGGACCCCTCTCCCACCTTCCCTGATGACCAGAACCAGTGCTGGGCCACCTCTGCCCCCAGCCAGATCCAAGTTGGGATGGCTCTGGCGATGATGACCTCCAGCTTTTGCGCGGGGGCGCCCCGAGGGCCTCAGCGAACTGCAGCTGGCGCATCGCCTGCAGGTTCCGCAGCTCGGAGCCGGCCGTCATGCTCAGTCTCTGCGCCCAGGCGAGCCTGATGCCGTCACCAGCAGGCAGAAGGAGCGGCGCGTGGGGGCCGTTTCGGGTTCGCTGTTCGAAGTTCTCCGACGACTTCGCAGACTCCTGACGATGCTCCGGCCTCGGGATGCCCACCAACAGCTGCGCCTCGCCGAGCGCGCTCTGGGGTGCCTGGATCGTCCCGAGCCACCGCGCGAGGCCCGAGATATGGCCCGAAAACTGTCATGGGACCGGCTCGGGGGGGGGACCATGGAGCTCAAAGCGGCGATACGTCGCCGACAGATCGGCGATGGGCCCCGAAAGCGCATGCGCACGTCCTTCAGCGGGGTGGGCTATCGGGCTCCTGTCGGCGATCAACGGGCGATTGGGGGTCGATGCATCCCGCCCTGAGCCTATCCCCCCCCAACGCCTCCCAAAGGAAGGAGGGGGAAGGATACAGACCCAAACACCTTGCTGTCTCGGCGCCGGCAGCTGCTCAGCCCGTGGGGGGCCCAAGTCGCGCTGCGAAACGGCAAGTGACCACCATTGAGGGCGGGGAAAAAAGAGGGCGGCCACGGAGACGGAAACCTGGCAGGCGAGTCGCTCAGGGCATGAAGTCCCTGACGCCGGCGCCAGACAAATACCCAGACACCTGGCTGATTCATTGCTTCAGTCTGGCAATATTTCTAGCATTTCGGCCTCTAGGAGCAAGTTTCTGGGGCCATCAGGCATCGTTCCGGGACGATAAACTGTCTCTGTGAAGGGATCGAGGCATCTGGAGCCTGCGGGTTGGATAACATCAATCCGTCGTAAGGCTGAGGAGGATGAGTCGAGGATCGATGTGCTTCCATTGTTTCTAGATTGTTGGGCCGACGGGAGGTTTCTCGTCGCAACGGCTGATCTATCCTGGGAACACTAGTGAAAACAAAACACAATAACACAGGTCCAGGGTCGACGCTTCCAGCTTAAAAAGGGGAGCAAGAATAAGAGGATGAATGGCCAGAGTAAACCCACATCGTACCAAGGATACTGCAATACCCTCTAGTCCAAATTCCCTTGAACATCAGCCAACATAAAAACGATCGTTCTCGTTTATAGTGCAGAACGAAGGCGGTTCCATTGAACACCAAATGCCCAATGGGCCCGCAATTGAGGCGTCTGTTCCATGAAGGATTTAAGCCGAAACGGCCATCCATCCTTCGAACTATCACGGAAGCAGCACATTGAGTCCATTGAATTCAGGGAAAGCTCCGGTGACAAACCCGTTTTGAGAAAGGGGCCGCCCTCCACCCGTGTAACCGTTGCACCATGTTGTTCCTGGCCAGCACGTACGAGGAGGTCTTGAGGGAGAGCCAGCCGCTTTTGGAGCTACACCTCCCTAGAACAGTTGAACGATCGCAAATAACACATGTCGAGGACGTCAGTTCTGAAAACTGTAAGGCCTTAATCAGCATACATGCTTTACTTCTTTTGGACGGGTATGCGCGACGCCAGAGCGAGATACTATTATTTCAACTTAGGAGTGCATCCAGAAACAAAACACCTCTGCCCTCGAACCTCGATCCTCCTCCTCCTGCCCCTCCTCTTCCTCTTCCTCCTCTTCCTCCTCATCCTCCTGGTGTTGGTGCTGGTGGCCTTTGGTGGGGCCGACGAGGAAGGCGTTTTCTTATTCCCCCCCGTCACGTCCGTGACGGGATGGGGGGGGGTCCAACCGCCGTTGGGGGGTAACGGTAACATGGCTAGGCTCGGGCCAGGTACTAGCAGTAGTAGCAGTAGTAGGAGTACCAGTAAAGGCCACGGAGGCGGCGACGACGACGACGACGGCGATGACCACCTGTGGAAACGACAACGACAACGACAACGATCATTCTAAGACTGTTCGTTCCTATCGGCTCGCGGGTCATTCAGCATGAATATCACAAGCCCTCGATACCCGCCGTCTTCGTCTTCGATCGTACCCCCCTTGGGGGTGCATTTTCCCTACCTGCCGCGCGTAGTTGGCGCAACCCCTAGAGCAGGGGAAGGAACGGGGGAGGGAAGAGGCAAGGTGGAGGGGGATGGAGAACGAGAAAGACCTGCAGAAGGGTTAGGAGCAGGAGTGCAGGCGGCAAAACCAGACAGGCGGGTGGGGCTGGCGTACTCTAACTGACAGGCCGGGCGGACGGGCCCAGACGGCAGGGTCGAGCGGGCGGGTCGCCCAAGCGTCAATCCAACGTTCATTGCAAGGAAGTTTCGAGCGATTGTGCTACTCCCAAATGTACATCGTGAGGACATCCAAATCGAGAGCGTGATTCCTGAGTCTTAGGAGCCGGGCTGCGAACATTGTACATCGCGTGGAAGTACCACGCGAGAGCGCGATTCCTGTATAGCATCTGTCTACTGAAGACTTCAGTGAAGCATCCGCGAGTGGCCGCATTCCGCACCTGCTTCAGCTCGAACGCTTGTGCTGACTGTGGCTACCCTCGGCAGACCTCCGGCCGTGGATGCAAGGCAGGGCTGGTGGAGCTCCTCACGCAGGAGGCGCTGCGCTGGGCAGGCCTCCCCTCGCTCTTCTTGTCCAGTCGCTGCCCCGAGGTGCCGCCGTGCCCCGCTGTGCCGCCGTGCCCCGAGTTCCCCGAGATCCCAGCGCATGCCCAGCCTGAGCAGGGGCGCCGCCTGTCGCGCCGAGGGCCCCGGCGACAGCCGCCGTCGGGTCAGTGGAGGCCGCGCTGGTGGGCATCGTCGCAGGGCTGCTCGCCACTGGCGATGTGGACCGTGTGGGTTGGTGTCGCCTGCGCAGGGGACTGACGGTCGCCGCCTGGACAGAACCGACTCCTGATGGCGGCCGCGGGCGCGGTGGTGGCGCTCCAGCCGCAGCAGATCCAGTGGTCGTTCGTGCTGTACGCGGTGGCGGGCCCATCAGTGTACCACCAGCGCCAGGAGGTCGGATGTCGGCGCTTGGTGTGCTCGGCGACTGACTCGGGCATCTTCCTGATCGGCACGCCAGACCTCAACGTCTATGAGCAGGACTACCTGCCCAGCTCGCTGGGTGTGGACGTCGTGCAAATGGCGTTCGGTGCTGCGCGCTGGCCGCCGCCACCAGGCGTCCCTCGGGCGCAGGTCTACCGCTTCCGCGACGACCTCTCGGGCCTGGAGGTGGCGGCGCTGCGCGGCGCGGCACGCGTCGAGGCAGGCTTGGGGCGGCGGCCGACCTCGCCGCGGGCGGGGCAGGAGCGCCGATCCCAGCGGACGTGTTCGTGCCCTTCCCGGCGATGGCGGCTGCATGTGCTGGCGGCCGCCGATGGAGGCCCGCGGCTGGCGTGGCTCCTGGGGGGCACGCGGGGCCGCTGCCCATCGCCAGGGCGCCGGCCCCCGCCGCGGCCGTGGCTTCTGCCGCCCTCGGCCCCGCGCTGCCGCCCCCCGCGGGGCCTCCAGCGCCGCCGCCGCTGTCCGCCGCGGCCGTGGCCGCGCCGGCGGCGCCCTCCCGCGCCCAGGCGATCCCCGACGGGCTGCTAGTGGTCGTGCCGGCCTCGGGGCTCGCGCCGCCTGGCTGGAACTGGAGGGCGGCGGAGGACCTGCCGGGGCTGGCGGCCAACGGCGAGCCGCCGAACGTGAGCTCGCCTGGCGGCTGGAGGCGCGGGTCGGCGACAGGTTGCGAAGCTCGTGAGTGGCCACTCCGTCTTCGTAGCGCTCGCGGAAGACGGCGAGGTGGCGCAGCTGAAGGAGTTCCGCGGGAACGACGCTCGCACCGTGGCCGTGGTCCGCTCGGCTGTGGGTCGTGAGCGGCCGTGGACGTCGGTGATCACCGATCTTGGCGTGCCTCATCATGACGTAGTCTCTGGCCTCTGCCGGCAACAATACTCTTCCTCGCACTGAGACGATTTACTGCCGCCAGCGTATACTCCGGCATGCTTTACCCTTTTTCGCCGAAGCCCGTGCACGCTGCCTTTTCCAATGCTCAGGGCACGGCCTGCTTAAGGTACGCAGCAAAAGCCTCGTGCAGAGCCTCAAGTATTTTCGTCAGGCCTGCCTGTCCGATGATCTGGTCGGGTTCCATGTCCACGATGGCCCTCTTCGCCGTGCCAGTGGGTCGTCTGAACAGCTTGGCGCCCTCCTTGCTCTTCGAAAGGTCCGTGGTGCTGGTCCACAGCTTGAGCTCCTTCAGCCATCGCTTGTACTTCACATCGGGGTCCGTTCCATCATGCTCGGGGGGCGGATCACGATCTCGATCGCCTCCGCCATGTTGCTCACTTGAGAATCTACCCTCCCCTCCCGCCATGGGGTGGCGAAGTCCTGCGGATCGTGACAAGCTCCGCTATCAATGAAAGACGCCGTGATGCTGATCCTTTCCTTGTCACACGCCGCCCCAACGTCTCGAGCGTCCCAACGCACGACACGAATTAATACGATGGGGAATGTAAACGGAGGGGTGGAAGGAACGGGGTGTACTCTGAGGGATACTGGTAAACGAGGAGGAAGGGCCAGCACGGCTATGGCTGAAGGAGCATGGGGCATACGGAGGGCTGAAGGGGAGCGCGGGGGAGCATAAATATCGCCAAACACCTACAATCAGCATCATCATCATCATCATCATCATCATCATCATCATCATCATCATAATCATCAGCATCATCAGCATCAGCAACAACATCACCAACACCAACATCAACATCATCCTCATCATCATCCTCATCCTCATCCACATCATCATCATTATCATCATCATCATCATCATCAACATCATCATCCACATCATCATCCTCATCCTTATCCTCATCCTCATCCTCATCCTCATCCTCATCATCATCATCATCATCATCATCATTTTCATCATCATCATCATCATCATCATCATCATCCGTGTCACCATCGTCATTGTCAACAGCACCGTCATCATCATCGTCATCAGTATCGTCCTCACGATCATCAACATACCCATCAACATACTCATCACCATCCGAAGCCCCACAACAATCAACACCAGCATCATCAGCATCGTCATCGCCATCATCATCAGCAACATCATCATCACTACCATCACCATCATCATCATCGTCATCGTCATCATCCTCGTCGTCAGCATCAGCAGCATACTGATGATGTCCATCGCCGCATGCACCACCATCCTCATTAGCATCAACATCATCATCATCGTCGGTATCAGAATAAGCATAGTCGTCCTCTTCATCATCGTCGTCATCATCATTAAGGCCACCGTCACCATCATCACCACCATCAAACTCAGCATACTCATCATCATCATCAGCAGCATCATCAGCATCGCCATCTTCATCAGCATCACCAACAACATGATCATACGTCCTCGTCCTTGTCGCCATCATCCTTGTCCTCCTCACCCGTCACCTCATTTTCCTCCTGCGTCTTCTCTGCCACGACAGCATCACCAACCTCATAATCATCAGCATCATTAACGTTGTCATCAACATCCTACTCATCATCAGCATCATCGTCATCATCAACTTCTTCATCCTCACCATCATCAGTATCAACGTCACTGCCACCCCCACCACCACAAGCATTACCACCACCCTCATCAACCCCATCATCATCAGCAACATTATCATCATCACAAGCAACGAAAACAGCACAATCAGCATCAGCAGCAGCAACCATATCATCATCATCATCATCATCATCATCATCATCATCATCATCATCATCATCATCATCATCATCATCATCATCACCATTATCACCCCTCATCATCGTCCTTCTTCTCCTCCCCATCCTTCTCAGCCTCCCGCTCCTCATCCTCCTCCTACTCGAGCCCTCGAACCCTCGAGCCCTCCCCCGTTTCTCCTAGCCCCCTCCCCGCCCTCTGGAGCCTCTCGTCGTCTGACGGGGCAACGCCCAACCGGCGGGGCGGGGGGCGCCGCACCACGCGGAGGAGGGCCGCCTGCAGCGCCTGCAGCAGCTCCGCCACCTCACCCATGTCTATCCTGGGTGGGGTGACCCGGGGATGACTTCGAAACAAGCACGGGGCTCAGAATCCCGCCTGCCCTCTAATCAGGTCCTCGTGGCACCCTCCGATCCTTTTCGCATGAGGGAAAGAGGTCCTGATGGGAACGGGTTGGGTCCTGATCCAGGGTGGCTTTCCCTGGGACCCGTTTTTCGTCCTGAACTGTTCTTGGCAGTCCCAGGGCCAGTTGGCTCCGAGTGCCCCCAGAACAGCAGAAAACAGCCAAGACCCCTCTGCGGTTCTCGTGCTGGCCCATCTTTGATTGTGCGCCGCCGAAGGTATTGCATGACTGAAACGGGTTCTGAAAGAAACGGATCATGCAAGCATTCCGCCGCATTCGAGCTCCTGGGGCCCTCCCAAAGCCCAACGAGAGTCCCAAACCCCAGGGTCGTCGAGAACTTTTCCCGCAGAACCCATGTGCTTCCAAGCGAAGCTTGGTGAAACAAAAACTATCCATACCGCTGCTCCCCTTTCCCCGGGTGCGTTCTGACCAGAATGTCGAAGATAATCCATCCGTGGCGACGAGGGCTCTCCAGGACGAGCAGCGGCTGAAAGTCTGGGCTCGCGGCGACATACCCTGAGATCCGACGTTGCGAATAAGCCTGTAACCGCGAAAATCACGACCAGAACCCTAAACCTCACCTTTCTGCGCCATTATTCGAGCTGGATCGATACGTGATACTTTTTTGGTCAGCGGCTCCGAGGCAACGGTCAGGGAGCGGAGGCGATCGATACGTGATACGCAGAGGGCCCGAAAGTGGACGAAAACGCCTGGTGCAAAAAATCGCAACGCCCAGATCCAGGCCAAGGGTACGCTGGCGAACACTCATGCAGTATTCATATGTCAACCCCCCAATGATCAAAGCTGGCGGTAGCTCTGAGGAGTTGCATTTCGACCGCAGTGTTCCTCGCGCGTGCCAACTCTGAATTTGGGGAGTCGGGGACTGACTGAATCCTTGAGTCCAGAAAACGCGTCAACAAGATTGGACGCTGGCGAACAAAAAGTGTAAAACACTCCGCAACTTACCTAGGCTGGTCACAAAAGGCGAAAACAGCTGGCGAACGGAAGAGCTCAAAAGGGGAGACAAAACAACAGGCGGCGGTCATGGTTGTCCTGGCTCGGGAAGCCCGCGAGCCCCATGCAATGTTCCCTCGAAGAACCGCCGAGCATGCGATGATGCTGAAGCGATGGCACGGGAACGGGCTCGCAAGAGTTTGAGAACACGGGGCCCGTCGCAAACTCCTGATACGTGCAGCTGGTTGAGCGCAATCAGGGTAGTGCCGATCGCAACAGCGATACTGAAGACGCTAGGCCTAGGAAAATTGGGGGCCATCCGAAAATCCAACATGTAATATCAACAACGGCCGGGTCATAGGAGAGTAAAGGAGGTTCATCGCGGCTGGCAGGAAACAAAGATAATATGGCAGAGCCTCCCTTCCCACCGCAACCGAAGAGACAAATTTGGTCTCAGATATGTATCTGGCTGTAGTGTTCCAACTACGACTCATCGTTGTCAGAGCCGAGGCGAGGATGAGTGGGGGGAGATCCTGGCCAACCAGACCAATTCGGAGGAGCTGTCGACCCACGACTGGCCCGAAACATTCACGAAAGTATAGTTCCAAGGCCTTGCTGTGTCTGCATGGACAGGCCCGTGGGCGTCTGAGGAATGCGTGTGAGTTGGCCCCACACGCTCGCGCGGTAAGCAAAGACAGATTTGTGGTGCCAGTCTCTGTCTCGAGCAGACGCTTGGTTTCACGCCTCCAGGTTGCCCAGGCAGAGGTCTAGCGCCAAGATTTGGAGAGGATTTCTCGAGCGAGACGCTTGGCTTCACGCGTCCTCGTCGCCCAGGCGGATGTCTAGCATGAGGATGTGTTGAGGATATCTCGATCAAGATGCTTGCTTGTCTGCACGTGTCCAGGTTGCCCAAGCGGATGCCTAGCATGAGGATGTGTTGAGAATGTCTCGGGAGATACGCTTGTTTTCACGTGTCCAGGTCGCCCAAGCGGATGTCTAACATGAAGATGTGCTGAAGATGTCTCGAGCGAGACGTTTGCTTTCACGTGTACAGGTCGCCCAGGCGGATGTCTAGCATGAGGAGGTGTTGACAACTTCTCGAGCGAAACGCTTGTTTTCACGTGCCCAGGTCACCCAGGCGGACGTCTCACATGAAGATGGGTTGAGGATGTCTCGAGCGAACCAATTGTTTTCACGTGTCCAGTTCGCCCAGGCGGATGTCTAGCATGAGAATGTGTTGAGGATGTGTTGAGCGAAACGTTTGGTTTCACGTGTCCAGGTCGCCTACGCGGATGTCTAGCATGAGGAATTTGACAGGATGTCTCGAGCGAAACGGGTCGCCCAGGCGGATGTCTAGAATGAGGAGGTGTTGAACACGTCTCGAGCGAAACGTTTGTTTTCACGTGCCCAGGTCACCCAGGCGGACGTCTCACATGAAGATGTGTTGAGGATGTCTCAAGCGAACCAATTTTTTTCACGTGTCCAGTTCGCCCAGGCGGATGTCTAGTATGAGAATGTGTTGAGGATGTGTTGAGCGAAACGCTTGTTGTCACGTGTCCAGGTCGCTCAGGCGGATGTCTAGCATGAGGATGTTGACAGGATGTCTCGAGCGAAACGCTTGTCCCCAGCACGTTCCGTAGCGCGTCCCCTTGGCACGTCCCGCGGTGCGTCCCCATGGCACGTCCCTTGGCACGTCGCTTGGCGCGTCCCTTGGGACGTTTCGCGGCGCGTCCTCCTGGCATGTCCCCCTGTCAATTAGCTATGGGGGTGCTACTATGTGTTCAGGCAGCTCGAGCTTAAGACCCAGATCAGTTCGGTCAGGATTCGAATGCAAAGAGGACTCGACAAACAACGCTATAAAGCACAATCGCGGCATGGCACATCGCAATTCAGCACGGCGCAGCACAGCACAGCCCTCGGCAAGGTACATCAAGATCGATTCACTCAGCATTGCATTTGCCCGTCACCCAAACAAGTGTATTTGAAAACGCTGCCATGTGTTACATTTCTATATTCCTTTCCAAGTTCGTGTGTCGATCATGTTTGGTACAACAAAACACGGGCAAATAAATGCCGCCTACCTCCGCCTGCCGCCAAACAAATACAAGGGGTGGGCAAATGCATGCCACCTACTTCCGCCTGCAACCACCAGCGAATGGTGCTTGGCTTCGCAAGAGTACCAAGGGTAATTGCCAACCAGCTAGATAGGCACTAGATGCCTTACGCGTGCGCGGGCAAGTGAATGCCTCCTGCAATCGCCACTTGCAAAACACAAAGAAGAGGCAACGGGCAAACAAATGCCACCACCAAAGAGTGCTGCCTACTTCCGCGTACAGCCCACAAGGGCAAATGAAAACCACCACTCGAACGAAACGCATGCGATTTCTTCACGCATTTGCTCGTACGCTTCTACATGGTACCGGCGGGCCGCTGGCAGCTACGCCACACCACTACTGCTGCCGCACACAGAAGCCGTTTCGGCTCGAGGAGCACCCGCGGGCCTGTGCTGCCCAACGCTGCCCAGCGCAAGCCTGAGTTCATGCAGTACGCGGCTGGCCTCGGCGTAGAGACTCGCCGCAGAGGACCCGATGGGGAAAACAAACTTGTGCCACGGTGCGGAGGAAGTGCGGCGCGACTGCGCGGAGAGGCCTGCCACAGTTCGCAGTAGTTGCCGGGGGCGGCGGTGCTGCCTCGGGCCAGCAGTCGTTTGCTGCTGGGGAAATGTCATCTGGGAACGTCCAAAGCACGCCCGACGCTCCGCCACCGGCCGAGTTCGAGCCATGTGGCGACGCGCTGGGCGTTGCAGACGCTCCGCCGCAAACAGCTCCAGCGCTGTTGCAGCCGGGGGGCGCCCCCCGCCACGCAGGCGGTGCGCGCTCGCTCGCAAGTGACTTCGGCGGCATGACTGAGCGGCAGGGGGAGGTGGAGTCACGGTGGATGGCGGGCGCGCTGCATGTCGGAAGCTTGCGGCGAGCACCGACGCGCAGCTCAGCGACGCGTGCTGGCGCGCTGTAGCATTGCAGCTGGCCCCGAACCGTTGCGCGCGCATCCCGGGGCAGGCGCAGGCGCCAATTTCAGATAGTGGGCCTGGCGCGACCACGCCTGCGCCAGTCTCTGACAGCGCGAGCGCGCGCGCGCCGGCGCAGCCCAGGGCGACGTGAGCTCGCGCCAGAAATTATATGCTAGCCCACAGCTTAAAGGATAATCTCTACCGCGCGCAGCCGAGCGCCAAAGCGGTCTTTGGCGCGGGAGCATGACCCCGAGAGGAAGGCGCGGGGGCATGACCCGAAGAGGAAGGCGCAGAAAAGAAAGCCGTGGGCCGCAGACACTACGATTAACCAGCAGAGGCTAACCAGGCGACGCATTCGGCGGGAGAGACAACTCCCTGGCGCGGCTCGGGCGAGCGCGGTCTGCGCCGAGCGCGCTCGCGCGCGCTGGGCGGAGGTCGCGTCCACAGCTGGCAGGCGGGCGCAGGCGGCGCAGAGCATCGCGGGAGCATGCGAGCGCGAGGGTCCGGAGCACCCACCGCTCGCACTCGCGGCTCTGAACGTCCCCCCGTGTTTGGCGATCGCCAGGCAGATGTGCGAGTGCAAGGAACTGCGCGAGTGGGCGACGCGCGTGTGCTGGCGTGCTCGGTGCGACTTGCCTCCAGACTACCGCTTCGACGAGCTTCTCCTCGGCGCCAGCCCGTCGCCCGCGCCTTGGTTCACATTGGCTGACAGCGCCATTGCGGGGGCGCGCAGGCGGGGCGCCGCCGGCCAGCGGCGCCTGGGCGGCGCCAGCTCCGCGGCGGAGGCGCGCCAGATTCCTGCAGCGAGTTAACCTCCAGATGCGTGTGCAGCTGTTCTGGGCCTCGCGCGCTGCCTGGCCAGGCGTCGCGCGGTGGCGATCTGCCGCGGCTGCCAAGAACGCGTTGGCAAGGGCAGGTCTTTCTTTTGCGCCCGCGAGCGAAGATGTT